TGGGAGACTGGAACAGAGCAAGCTGTGCATTTGCCCTGCTCTTATTCACCTCCCCTGGTAGCTGCTACAGGTCACTCTCCGAAACAGAACAAGGAGCTAAATGGACTTTGGGCACGATTTCCCTATAGCTCTTCTTGTATTTTCAAATACTTAATTCCAAGGGACAAAATCTCCATCAACATTTGAAAATGTTACACCCAGTAACATGGTCAGAAGTCAAACACCGAACGCAATCTCTCACTTCACCACTCATGTTTCAAGAAAAGGCAAAAAAACACCCTAGTGAAGGTAAATGATGCTCCAACCACCAAAGGCAGACAACACTTATTGGAGATTCACATTTGCACCCCCAACCTAATCATGCGGCCTCCTTGGGGACCACCTGAAGCAGCAGCTGCAGCTCCTCACACCACTCACTAACTCCAGCCAGTATCAGACAAGGGCCAAACTTTCAATTCCCTTTAAAACTACCATCCAACAAACTTCAGTTTGGGATTATTAGTGCCCTCCCTGGCAGTGCTGGCCATGCATTTTATGGACCATACACGCATCACCTCAGAAAACTCCCTCCACTAGCAGGTACTCGTTGAGTAAACAACTTCCCTCTTGAAACTTAAAAGTATCTGTGGGCTGTACAGATCTGCAAGAGCTTCACAAGACATCCCTCTCAGCCTAAAATGAATGCACAGCAAATGCAGGAGTTTTAAAGAATTATCACTATCCAAATGCTAAGTGCTTGTACTTAAAGTTCAATGTTCTCCTCATGTTTGTTAAGGATAAGGGCCTGGATGAAACTAAGTTATCTATATAGTCAAGATGATAGTAATACACGATGACAAAAGGTTTGTTAGAAAGCTTGAAAGAGCTGAGGTATTAACGACACATAAATGCTGCCTATGTAAGTGATATACAGCCCTATCTTTTATTTAGATTTTTCCAACAGCACACAGTCCTACCTTTTATTCACATTTTTCTAATAGTGATTGGATTCCCACAGGTCTTCATCTATCTCTAGTGCCTCTTCTGGAACATGTCCAGTTTGGCCAGGAAAAAACAAAAAACTTGTCATTAATTAAGTTCTTTGTTCAATAACCCGCGGTTATATGAACAGACCCATAAAGTTAACAGGATTATCCATATGTCCTAAGCCAAGCAAGCACATACAGTGTCTTCTTGAATTAGAAGCTTAGCTGAGAAAGGGGCAAAAGAAACAGTAGAACCAGTAACCCAATAAAAACATTGGATTTTCCATTGATTAGATTAAGACAATATTCCATGCGTCAGTAACCTCATTTTCTCTTGTTTCTGACACTATGTTCTGGCAGTCTTCCTTGGACATGATTTGACTCATCTATCTTCTCTGCACTCTTAAACAAGTCATCTTGACCAATTCACAAAAATATTTAGGTATTTTATTAAAATAGATGGTGTTCATTCAAATTGCTCCCCCACAACAGATATCTTTGTCAGCTACTGACAGCACACGACAGGTACCAGCGGGAATGAGAGACACATTTCACCAGTAGGTTTTAAAACTATTTACCGACAACAGAAAATACAGCGCCTCAAGGCAAGATGTGATTTAAAAAAAAAAAAAAAAGTCCAAGACTCAAGTGTTAACACATTTTCTTCTCTCATCTCCTACTTCTGACCTGATTCCTAATGTTACCTGAACAGCTCACCTCTCCCTTCCTCTTCAGTCCTCACAATTCTGCTTCCTTTTCATATCACTCAGTTGCTTCCAGACTGTTTTCTTTCCCTTCCTCCTTTTCCTTCTTCTTTTCCTTCTCCTGATTGGCTGCAACTCAGAAAACAAGAAAGTCTCCCTACTTTCTGTGCCTTCCCAGAGCACTGCAGCCATGGGGAACAACTGCAGGGAAGTCCTGCTTAGGCCCTCTAGCCTGGGATCGATCACACTCAACACAAGTGGAATTTTAAGAAGATGAGTTTAATAAAAATTCCAGCAGTAGACACCGAGCACATGAAATGAAGATTTTCAAATGTCTGTGACTTGGCCAGTTTGGATGTTGTTCTCACAGTATAATATTCTACCCAGAGCTCTTTTCCTGTTAGTATCCAAGACTTTTCTCTAAACGAAGGGAGCACAGGGATTTCTCAATGAAACACATTAAAAAACAACAAACAGCAATAAAATCCTTCTTCCAAACATTTTAAGATGACCAATGCCCCCCCTGTTTTGTTCTCAGAAACAGACCAAGCACTTTATCAGAAGATCTACAAACAACGAAGCCACTGTCTGGCATTGGTATAAAGATTTTCATCTACGTGTCAGACACAACATTAAATTTTAATTAATAAAAACATCCTACAGTAGGAAATGTTATGCAGCCTTAATTACAGGATAATCTGCCAGCTACTGCTCTAATACTCCTGTATTTCAAGTGAAACGGTCTAGAGAGAAGACGGGTTCCCCGTTAACGTATTAACATCCACACAAGTTGTGCTTTTCACAGGCTCCCCCATTAATGGCAACCTCTTTAGCGAAGGGGCAGCCTCTAAGTCGCTGCCTCCACACGCTGAGCAGCAAAACTGCATCCCCCAAGGGAGCCCATGGACACGGCCCCACTGCCCAGGCAGTGGCAAAAAAACAGCAGGTAAGCTTAAAGGGAGATAAAACATGGACAGACTGCTCATCTTCCTCTGCTACAAAGAGTACTTGAAATTCTGCCCAAAAAAGTGAAGTAAAATAATTACTATTATCTTAACTTCAGAATTTTGCATGCAAACAAGACTCATATAAATGTGTGAAGGTCCATTAGATAACATCAGTGCTAAGTTCACTTTCCATAACAGACTGCAGCATTTTAAAAATAAATGATTTAAAAAAAATATATAAGAAAACTTTTCCCATGCTTCTCTCAATTTGATACTGTCAGGATTTCTACATGACTCGTGTGAACAATGTCCATGTTCCACTTGCAGCACTTGCCAGAACTTTTAATATATATAAGCAACTCCATGTGTCAGCACACCAGAAGAAATTGCTGCAAGGTGAGGTGAGTGCCAAGACAAACTCAGCAACAGTTTCTTTTTTAAAATCTTGAGATATTTATTTTCCTACAGCAGCCACATGTGTGCATGGAAATAATTAACAGGTAAAAGACACAAAGAATTCTAACATATGATAATTTATCAAAACTTTCTATTTAACTTTCACTCTGCACATGCAAACTGAGCCAATCTATTCTATAGTTATATAACAAAGAACATTTGCTCTGTGTTTAATAGCCTCTTCACTTCTGTTCTCAGATTTAAAGAAAGCCAATAGGTCATGCAGCTGTTCTAATATTTAGGTCTTATGCTTCTAAGTATTAACATTTTATGTATCATTATGATTTTCTAAAGAAGGAAATCCAAATTAGGTAATTGCCATGCATGTTACTTATTTAAATATATCATTCTGTGTTATAAAACTATCCAACAAACCACTTACTCGCATGACGTTAGCCATGTTGAGACAGCTGAAGAGTAAAACTGCCAAAAAAGCACACTTCAAAGATCTGTGGTCTGCAGGAGCCATGGCAATATGGGGCTCCATTTTCCACTGGCTTCAGCAGAGGGTCATTAAATGTGCACCTAGGTGACCTATTCTTGTGGCTGCACAGGATTGTTTCCATCTTGTTTTAGCATGAGTTTGAAGACAGCATCTCTACACCTCTTTGAGCCACATCTTGCTAAAATCCATCCAATTTTACTGCAGACAATGATGCACCTTGTAGTCAAACTCCTACTCAGAAATACTGTATACACTTCCAAAGCACAAGCACAGACCATTTATATTTATCTTGCAGAACACAGATCAAGTAGTACGACTTTAGGGAGAACAAAGAGGAAAACAAACAAACAAACAAAAACACTTGCACAAACATTTGTTCAGTTAAACCAGCACAAAAAGATGCAGACTTTATTCTATCATTCTTGTCTGAGTGCTTGTTATTTACACTTTTAAATGTAGCCTCAAAGATAATTTCTTGGGGTTGGTTTTGTTTTTTCTCTCCATAGTTTACTTTAAGTGATGGCATTTTATCTATAGCCAGTTGTGGCACACCCTGCCCAGTTATCTGCTTCTGGAGGTCAGCAATGCTCAAGAACAAACCACACCAGGTGAGACTGCAGAAAGGCAGCAGTTCTAAATGTACTGAGGAAGGTTTGCACGAGGCTGTCAAAACATCTACAGTAATAGCTGAAGTGTTGCACCTACCTAGATGACTGCTCAATAAAGAGACACAGTTCTTTCAAACCAATCAAGATAGACATACAGACTCTCAAATGGGCAATGATCAATAGTTACTGTTAACTGGAAGTGCACCATGTGATATAAAAATATGAAACTTCATGATTTCTTCATGTTTCCAGCTTTATCTTTACTGGAGAAAACAAAAAGTAGGAATATATTGCTACAAGATTTTTTTAGACTTTCATTTTGGCATCTAGTATCTCAGGGACTCTTATACAACCACTATTCAAGAAATCCCTAAAAAGCACAGTCTGTCTCAGGTTTTGTTTTTAAGGTTGGCAAGCTTTATAGCATTTTCATTCAAAAGCTAATAAAGCGTCCCAGATAATAAATCAAAGTAACTAGGTATTTCAAGCACCACCTGAGTGTACTCAGATTTGAAAGTAAGATTAAGTGTTAGGAAGACAGATGACACATGGCAGACTATATTGATCCTTTAATACTAAATATTCAGGGGAAATGGAAAAGCTGAAAGGTGCAATGCAACCCCTATCGCAATCACTGAAAGGGTTACAAGTTACAACAATATGTTTTCTAAACTCAGCACTTAAGCAAGCATTAAATCACACCTTCTGTTTATGCGAAAAATCTCATTTGTTCTAAGTGATTACACTAAGAAGTTAAAGGAAACAAATTCAAAAAAGCATACAGTCAAAATGCTTTTCCATAGTGAATCCCACAAAATGTTAGGAAAACTTCAAACAGTGTTACACTGTAGTTCAGAAAAATCTTTTAAACTTACTGTGTTGGTTGAGTCTTCTTGTAAAATTCTATCATATAGCTGGACAGCATCATCATACCTGTTGGAAGAAATCAGTCACATTTATTTCTGCTAATAACTCCTGACTTTCCAACTATCCTTCCAATACAGTTAATAGCACTGCTGAACTTTTCATACTGAACATTGAGAGCTAGATTTCTGCAAAATTCCTGTTAAGTGAGTTCTAAATCTGAACTGTAGTATTTTATGCCAATATTAAAAAAAAAAAAAAAAGCAACTCCTCTAGGGAATACTATTTCAGCAACAAGGTACACATTTTACACCCAAATTGTTTCAGTTCTTTTCCTGTTCTCTGTTTTTTCTGTACCTAATAGGTACAGCTACCACTTCCCAACTCTTCTCTTTGCCAAAGGAGCATAAAACCCAAAACTCGAAAGGACATCCAGAGTGATAGACTTTTCACTTTTTTTCAAGTAAATTTATTTTGTTATGACCTTATAAAGCATAAGGTCAATACAAAAGAGTCCAACCCCTACACTACCACAGATTATAAAAGAAAACTTTTTCCATTATCAGTACATAGGTTTTATGAACTAATTCTGTTTCCTGAAGTATGCCACAAATAATTTATTGCAACTGCTATAAATGCTTTAAATCTTCTGGTAAACAGATTTGTGCATTTAGCCAGCCACATAAAGAACCCACACTGGGCAAATAAAACAATTCAGTTCAAAACACATTTGATTATACAGCTCTTGTGCTGTCACCACACAGCGGGGACACTCTTTTGCTCTCAATGTGCAGTCTGACTGCTGACCAAAAGTGCTGCTGACCAAACTGATTGCTACCCAGTCCCTTCTCCCCTTGGACACCCACTTACACACTCACACGCTGCCCTCAGCTGCACTGGGCCTTGTGAAACTCAGCTGTCCAGTCCAGATCACCATAAGATATAAAAACAACCATGAAACAAAATTTCTGCACAAAAGCAGAAATGAGAAGACGGTGACTGCTACAGACAACTTAAGCAGAAGTACTGCAGAATGTTCTTCTCATGAAGCCTGTTAGTTACTATTGTATCCAGCATATTTTACAAGCCTGAACATGACGACCATAAACTCAGTTTTACTCTGTGAAGTTCCAGAATACTCTATTCTTCCTGTTAGTGAGTGATGTCCTCAATCTGCAAGGCTGTTGTTCACTGCTTCACCTTCCTGCTACGGAAGGCAGGATCTTATCAGATCCTGGGAGTCACTCAGACTTCACCAGGATGTGTCATCACATCAGCCTAGCAGGTGCCCCTGGGCTTCATTTACAGTCATTGGAGAGAAAGACATCGCGGAGTTCCTGTACCAAGACAGGCTCCTGCACAGGATAACCCAGGTATGAAACCTCTCTCCCATCTCTGAACTCTGGGGGAACCCTGTGGAGATGAAACCTCATCTTTCGTCAATGCTCCCAGGATGTTGCAGTGTCACATGAGGAACTAACCTCATTTTTTAGGCACACTTTTGGAAAACTGCAATTTGGTTGCTGAAACAACACATAATGTTTGTGTAGCAGTCACCTCCCACAAACATCTCTTCATATGCAGAAACATATTTAATGTAGTCACACAAGTCTGAAGAGAATTATGGTCTTTTGCACTTGCGGATAGGTGTGGAGGAAGGAGAAATCTGCTGCAAATCTTCCCACCCTACATCAAATGAAGGCAGAAAGAGAGCTAAATTTAATGGGATTTTTTCAGGGATAATATTTTATTCAAAGTGAGTGTGAATGTCAAAACTTTAATTGCCCTCAGGCTGGTCTGGTGGTACTGGAGTCTGCTTATTTCGATCCAAACAATGGACCTTCACAGCTGGCTGATAGCAAATTATATTTGCAGAGTTCATTTTGCAAGGAAATGGATGAAAAATATCTGATAAATATCAAAGAAAACACTTAAATAGAAAAAAAAATAACACTTCTAAATTCTAATTCCTCCACATGAAGACAGCCTAAAAGCTCTGAATCTCAACTAGAAGCACAGCAGAGATTTACTAGCCTTCAAAGCTACCAGAAACTATAAGTCCTTGACAAGGTTTGAACTGCTCTCTGCAATATCCAAGAAAAGTGCATTAGAAGAGAGAGTTGATAGAAAGGATATATTAAAAGAACAGAGACAGACAATGAAGGTCAATCTCAAGTCCTGAGGCAATTTCTCTTGAAAAAATCCAAAGTCTTCAGCTCATTATTTTATGTATTCCTCCTAAACTTACTAAGTTATAGCCCTTCTATAAGAAGGCTTATTTCAGAAAGTTTGTATTTCAGGTTCTGCTACTCTGTTCTGGATGGCTTTTGACTAATTTCTATAAAGAATCCTATAGATTTAATCCTTATTAAATTCTGCTGGACCCACCATACGTGGGCAAAGATGTTCCCTGCTAATTAGGAGCACAGGAGAATAAGGAGAACAAAAAGGCTGTCAGGGATTTTCAAAGGCAGCTCTATATGTGCAACATTAGATGTATAATTTACAGACTTTGCCAAAAAAGTGCCTAGTGTTTTACTGTATAATGACTTATGCTGGCACATAACAGACCCTTTTAAACTGTGAAGTCTGATGGGGAGACTGGAAAAACGTAGGACTGCAGAGTCCAAACTATAATGCAATAGAAATGTCTAAGCATTGTAAAATCATCATGCACCCTGTTACTTTCTGCAAGGAAACTACATAGCACTACTTTTCTCTCCTCTTACCATGACTGAATTCTTTTTTAAGAAATAGCAAGTACCTTTTCCAGACACGAATTACATTTGCTTAAATTCAGCTTTTACCTTTCCATAGCTTCGAATCTCATTCCAGTTAATCTCTTAACCCTGTGGCTCCCAGGAAACTGCCGCCTTAGTTCTTGAAGACAAAACTACATAAATAAACAAACGAAATATATTTTTGTGAATATAATTACCCACACATAAGCTGTGAAGAAAAGACTTTTTTTTTTCAAGAGCATGAAAGCAAATACCAATGTTTGAAATAAGCAATAAAATATATTTTAAAGAGAAGTTCAGAAACTGAAACCTCTTAGTGTTAGAAGACTAATTCTAAGAAATCTTTTCCATACACGTCGCTCGATTGTCAGGCTTCTTGGAAATGGTTATTTATCTAGAAAATTATACTCATCTACTAAAAGATTTCTGATACTATTAAAACATGAAGTCTATTTAGTTGCCTCATAATAATACAAAACAGTAAAACCCAAAATAAAGACACGAAGAGCTTATATGATACTTCTTTCTCTTACAATGGAAGAAACTATGCTAATACTATGCACTGTGTTTATTTTTAAAATAAAACTTTGAAATCCAAAGAAAATGTTTGTCACTGGCTTAAACCGAGCCTGCTGGCACAGGAGGCAAAACGTCTGAAATCCATGAGACACCTGGGCTGGATAAAAGGAATTCATCACAGGCAGATTTTGCAGGATTAGAGGAAAAGGATGTTTGTAGAGGGCCTGAGTCAGAACCTCCCCAAAGGAACCCAACTCTCAGCGTATCACGCATGTGCCTCGATAGCAGAGCAACGTTTGTAGTGATCCATTAAAGTGGAAGGGTCCCAGGCTCTGCCAAGAGCAACGGTATCAATCACGCTAAAAGCGTCATACAGAACCCTCCTTTTCAAGGCATTGATTTATACAAATCAGTGTAAGACCTGTTCTTCAGTTCGAAGGGGCTGGTGAAGCATAACTACATAGTCTGATCCATCTCATCACATCCACTGGCTGCAAAAAATATACCTACAGATAAGTAATGGTAAAAATTTCCAGGTTCCCTCTCTGCTTCTGCTCTGTTCCTAGAGCACAGCACAGGGGAAATCCTCCCATCACCCAGGTCCAAAAGAATACAGAGAGGAGAGGGAGGACGGAGACAGCAAGCAGGGAGAAAATGTCTCGCCTCAAGTAAGCACAGGCTATTTTCATCATGATCTTGTTTGCATGGATCAATCAAGATCTCAAAATGTAATTTCATGTAACAAAAGTCCCAGACTTAATACAGAAACAGTTTACAGGCACTTTTAATGATGGCCAGCTCAAACGGGGCTGCTCTGAACTACAGATGTTACAGAAAACTACATGTTCTTAGCAGGACATTAAGTAATCTGAACTAACCTGTGAGCATTTTCAAGAGACAGGAAAGCTTGCATAAAACTCCAGAGAAGTAGTTTCACTCTTGCTTTTATAATTCAAGTGTAACCCTCTGTTTTGTAAAAAGAACTTTTGCAGCCCATAATTGCATTACCTTGTCCAATAATCTGCCTATCCTGAAGGACAACAACTTTCAGAATAAAAGTATGTTCTGGTTTTCCTCCAATAAACTTAGGAAGTCAAAAACTGTAAACTGCTGCATCCAGAGACCTTCCATGGACATCAGAGCAGAAGATGATGCAGTAGGGGGTACTCTGAGACCTGAAACGTTTTCATACAGATCCGACTACCCGATGGTAATTGAACTTGCATTGCGGCGTGTAAGACACCACAGTGCAGGTGCCTGCCAAAAGCAGGTGATTTCACTAAAACATGTGTGTGAAAGACCAACTTGGCTAACTGCAGCGGTTGCATGCGTAACGCACACTCACTTGGGGCAAGGCAAAGAGGACAGCGCTAATAAAAAAGAAAGGAAAAAATTAAAAAAAAAAAAAAAAGGGAAAAGAAGCCAGATGAGTGATTCCGTGAAAACCATCTCAGTCTGCTCATTTGGAGCAGATGAGACCCATTCCCTTAAGCAAAATGCATCACAGCTGTCAAAAGCTCACTGCTAAAAAACAGAAGTTGCACAGCGGTTTGTCCTACTTCGGGGCTACAGATGTAGCAAAAAAAACCCACATATGATGTTGGCTTGTTTGAATTAACTATTTCTTTATTATAAATCAATCACATTAAAAAGAAAAATCCGAATTTCCCTCTAGGCTTTTAGCCTACTTTCTAAGATGCATAAACTGTTGCCCTCTCATCTGAAGCGATATCCCTTAGAGGGCACAGAAACTCCCAATCTCCACCAGGGCTAGGAAAAACAAATAACGTTTCACAACTGATCTTTCAACACTGGTTCCCTCAACAACTTCATGACTCTTCCTAGACGACCCTCAAAATAAAGATCAAAAATGTTTTTGATATAAATCAGCACACAGAAATACATTATTTAAACACTAAGTCTATTTATTTTTGTTTGAACAGACAGCTATATAAAACAGTATTTTGAGAAACACAAGAATTATCTAAGAAAGGGAAGCTTACTGGGTTCACCAGAAGTTCAGTATTTTGTGCTGTATTTTTCAGTGTACTCCATTTTACCATATACATACAGAATTTGAGATACAGATTTGAGACCCTTCTAGTTCCACTGCCCTTCTCCCAGGTACATCCTCTAGCCTGAGCCCCTGGGTAGCACAGACCACTGAGTTTTGCCCAAACCACCCAGCATGAGACTCAAAGACTGTGTAGTGCCTTGCCAGCTGTAGGGGAATAAAACCCTGGGAGAGCAGTTCTCACAGATGACTTGAGCTCTATCAACTATTTACTTAGAGCAAGTCCAAGATTGTTGACTTTCAGGGCACAAATCAGCCCCATCTCTTTCTCCAGCCTTTTGTGAAGGATGGATGAAAAGTTCATTAACATTTGGGTGCTAAGGAGGCTTTTGCTTATTCCAGTTCCTGCCTGCAAAGGAATAACTAAGTTTGTGTTTTACAGTTTTAATCTGGTGAAAAGGTGTTACAGTCTGCCCTATGAGGAGAGGCTGAGGGAATTACAGTTTTACATTAGCTCATTTTATTTACATTTTCTGTATACCTGAAAATAAATTTACAAACTAATCAACTATAAATATCCATAAAAAGTATTCACATTAAAAAAAATCACAGAATAATTTCAGTTATCAGGGACATTTGGAAGTCACCTGGGACCAATCCCCACTCAAAACAGAGTCAGCTTCAAAGTTAGTACAGGAGGCTCGGGGACTCCTGCCAGTCAAATTCTGAATCCCTCCAAGGATAGAGATTCCAGAGTCTTTCTGGAAAACTTATTCCAAAGGGCTCACCATCCTATTGCTACAAATATTTTCCTAATTTCTATTTGGAATTTCCTTTTGGGCAACCTGTGTCTGTTGCTCTTCTCTTTGGCTCCATCTTTGCACCTTCCCATTGGTATATATTTGAAGCCAGCAAGAAAAAGCCCTCTCAGCCCAAGACTTAGTAAATCCAGATCTCTCAGCCTTTCCTTATGCATTATGCCTTACTGCTCCTTAATGTTCTTGATGGTTGCCCACTGGATTTGCTCCAATAAACCAATGTCTTTCTTGTGTTGAGGAGCTCAAAACTGGAACACAGTATTCCAGGGCCAAACAGAAAAGCATTTCCATTTCCTTCAGCCTGCTGACTATGTTGCTATGTTGGTGCTAATAAATGCTCTCTCTTCAAATACAACATGGGGAAAAAAATAAAAAGCAGCTCATTAATGATACAGTAAAGTTGAGGAATCACCTGTTAAAGAATGTGAGGTAAATACGAGTTTTACCTAATGACAGAAGCAAATGCTTTAAGAAGGGAACTTTTTTAACTAACTTATAAGAGTGCAATTCAAACATAAGTGGTCTGTTTACCTAATAGATAAACCTAACAAGAAAACCAGTCCCTATTTTAATTCTATTGGATGGAATTCACCTTAAGCACATGCTCTGTCCATAGAGAAAAGCAGAAAATACTCCGCAGAGAAGTTATTTCCTTGACAATCAGCTCCTACACTTGAAATGTACCATCTTGAAAAAGAGTTAACAGCAAGATATTCCTACCTTTAGGAATCAGACTTGATTTAAAGGCCAAAAGAAGTTTTTCACTGATTTTTAACATCTTCAGGCCCTTATTTTTTGCTCACAATGTAAACAGAAAAGCGAAATGGCTGTGCCACTTCTTCAGATGATGAGGGAGGATTAAGTGAAAAAAACAGGTAGCTAACAGAAAGCTAAAAAAACAGTCATAAGTTTATAATGTGGTCTTGACATTTTAGTAAGAGCAAAAATGGATACAACCACACTTTTTTTAATATAACTCATTAGTACAGCTGTAGCATTTGGAATTATATACACTGGCCATAAATGCATTACTCTACATTGACTGTATCAATCCTTGTCTGTGGTAATAGCCCACATGACAAATAGTAAGACATGCATGACATTTTAACCCAAAACAATCAAAAAATACATAATTTGAGAGGTTTTCAATAAACAAACATCCTCTGTAAAACATGGCAACTTTTAGTATTATTCTTGTCATTCAGCCCATACCAGAGTAGTTGTAAATATTTTCATGGCTATTGGAAGAGACATGATCTGTCTAAACAAAAGTTACACATTAGGGAAGGTGGGTGGAGGCAGTTTCTTCCCTGCAGTGCATTTCTCAATAATCTACAAATCCAAGATAGGGAGTTCAGAATATCCTATAACTATCTGGAAGAGATTCACAGGAAGAAAACCTAAGGATTGAGGGAAAAGTCAACTTGAAGACTTACCAATGCCAAATCATCTCGACTGCAATCCAGGGCAGCAATCATCACCTGTTCATAGATTATCCAAACTGAACACACAAAAAAAGACATTAAACACAGATATAGTTTTTAAAAAATAATGGGAAACATCTAAAATGCAAAAATAAAATTAATGAAATTTGTATATTCTTCCCCTTCTGCTCCTATGGATCATTACTGAAAAAGGGGCCATTTTAACAAACTGCTGGAATTAATTAAATATTTTTATTGCTTTTAGTAATATAAAATACCTTTTGACATCTTGAAAGGCAAAAAGTTCTAATTCTTTTCTTTTTCTAACATTTTATCTACAATTTTCTAAACAGATCTCCATTAGGACCTTCTCTCTGATCAGACCCGGAGAATAGCCATTGGGATTAGAAAGAAAATAAATTTATTTAACTGTTTCACTGCCACAAGTCCTATAAACATGACTTTCTTCCTGAAATGGGGCAATTTCTCTAAGTCAATGGCAGATCATGTTATTCCTATTTAAGCTCTACTGCATTGTGAATGTAACTCAGAGAAGAAAGAAACTCAGAGGTGCAGCTGCAAAGACTATGGAAAAGATGGTTTAGGGCAGAAGGAGACATCCAAAATGAATTGCAAGAACCAGGTGACTCCTGTAAGTCAAATTGGGGTACTCAGTGTATCACAGAACCAAACCAGAAGCAAGTATCCCGCAAAATAAAGACAGCAAATAACAAAGGTCCTCATGACCTTTTTGGAATGTACATTCTATTTAATGAGTTTCTGCTATTTTAAGACAATATTCTTTCTTTCTAAATACATAACAGAACAGACATGCAACTTGTTTTGTATCCTTTTATGCCCTCTGAACAATTTGTAAGAGCTGTAGTCTATTTTTATAACATAAATTATACATTTTTTCATGCAATATACACATCAGACACAAAATATAGATTACATATATAAATCAATTACATATATACAAATCAAGTTAAAGAGCTGCCCAAATAATCTAACCTACTCCATTCATTATTTTCCTTTCCATATGCATTCTGAAATTAATCATGACAACATCCGGATATTATCTGAAAGCACCTTAATCAACAAGACTAATATCCATTATATCTGATGATTCCTTTATCTTTCATGGCTACTCAAGAATTCTAGGCACACTGTACCTTTCTTTTTCTTTTTTTTTATGGCATATGGTTTCTATTGCTGGTATTTCTTTTTCAAAAATTAAAATGAGTAAAAATATTTAAATAAATTCCAGATACTTCCATGTATTACAAGAAAATTATATGGTCTGTGTTAAACTGCCTGTGTAACTTTAATATGCAAACTTACAACTACACTCTTGACAGAGTTATGCCTCATCTTTTGCTTCATTCTTACAGAAAAGTGCTATCGCATTGTTGTGACATGGCTCTAAACAATTCTCTTTTCATGTGAAACATTATATGCCAAGTTTCTGTCTACCAAGAATTAGAATAACATAGTTAAAATCCCCTGAAAATAATAATTTTATGGATAGCAGAAACCTAGACTTACCTTTAAATATAGTATCACAAATGTAATGCTGTAAGAAAAACAGCCTTAATATTAATTCTTGCACTATGTATGACTTAAACTAAGGAATAGCTTTCTTTCCTATAAAAGGATATTTTCCAACTTTTGTCACGCTGCTGAAGAACATGACATCAGCTGAGTGACAGGTAGATAACAGATTAATTCCAAGTTTTCACATAATGGTCTAACTAGTAACATGCCAAATTAAGGGTTCAGCTAGGTAACATTTCCATCAGTTTTCTCTGCATCCCATATTCGGTAAAGAAACCGAGGTTGGGAATTCAGACCGCCTATTAAACTAAGGAAGCAACATATATTTAATGAACATCAGCGGATAGAAAAAAAAAAAGCACACAGAAGTATTAGATGCAGAGCAAGAGAAGAAAACAGCATAAACAATACCAGACACATGCAATAAAAGCTAAAACATGGAAGTTTTAAAAATAACATGTACTTACTGTCATCTCCAAGCTTAGATGCATATTCATTAATTAACTCTTCTCCCACATCCACTATCTGCTCGCTGTTTCGGTAGTTCTCTTCCCTCCATTTCCTCATTTTATCACGCATATCTGGGGAGCGAAGTCAAAAGAAAAATGAGATTTCCAGAGAGTAACAGAATTTGAATTTTATATCTTTTGAAAAAGCATCTGAGTAATGGTTTTGGAATGCAGTTGACTTCCACTTATACTAACAAATTAAGCTGCGGAGAAATGGATGTACCTGGCTTCCAAAATTGCATCAAATCTTGCTTGTGGGCTTGCTTGGGCTAATTTATATATATAATCAAGTCGGCTTCTGAATTTCTAGGCTATATGGTTAATAACATATGCAGATTTCCCCTGATTTCTCTTTAGCCAATAACTAATCAAATTTAGCAGACATTATCCATTGTAGTGGAAAACAAGCTTCAAGAGTCCAAGTGGTTTTACACCTCTATTTGCAAACCATGCCAAAATTGCTTTATCTTTTCCAAGCGAATAAATTCTCACCCAAAGCAAGCAGCAGAACTATGAGAACTTCGGCCTCTCATTTTGATCAATTTAAATAAAACGTTGTAAAATTTCAGCCTAGAAAGATCCAGCACACTCCTAGGGGCAGGAGCACCAGGAAGGACAGTCATGGTAGTGAGGGCTTTCTTATCAGGGGAGAGCCCAAAGGCATAAAGACTTATTCCTTATCTAGCTAACATAGAAAAAGAAAAAAAAAATGCTTCTTTTAGCATGAGGATTTCTGTTTGCTTTCAATTCTAAGAGGACATTTACTACGAAACAGATCTCCTGAGTAGCAGAGCATTCTCATCTAGAGTGCACCAACTAGGCAAGGTTTTATATATCCCCTGAAATGAAAAATTATTGAGAAGATAATTTTGTATCTGTTCCACATGCTAAAACAAAAGGTTGAGGAAACATAAAGGGAATAGTTTTCAAATTATACAGTGTTTTTACAAATATGAAGGTACTGTGAATGCTTCCAACTTTTTATTTACTTTACAACAGCTGGAAAAACAAACAGAAACGTACATCTAAACACTGTCAGTTTTTCTTGTACTTCAAAATCCTCATTTTAACATAACTGACAGTTGAAAATTATGCACAGAATTTCTTCCATCTAGTTGAAGTGATATCAGATCACTCACAAAACTGTTACTGTGCTATATTTTGTATTTCGAAAATCAACCAAAACCACCACTGGGTTATGCTTCACACGCATGAGTTAAGTCAAATGGTTCTAGACACACGATGGTTCCTGGAAATTCAAATTTAGACAGCAAGAATGTAAAAGATCATAAACACTCACAAAAACTGTCAAGCTACATACATAAAAATATCTCATCTGATTTTTACCGACTCATTTACTTGGAAATAACCAACATCACCTTTCCAGTGCAATTCCAAACATAATTACGTCTAATTTATTAAATGAATCTATATCTACCATTCAGCATCTAATTGCAGAATTTCAAATGAGGACAAAAAAACACCAGGAGAGGCAAACCCCATTGATGATGAAAAGCAGAAAACAAAAATAGGTGCTGTCATTCAGGTGCATCTGTCAAAAGGACAGTTTTAGAAATACTGAATTCTCTGCAACGTGCAGAAGAACATGCTAAAAAATACAGTAAAGCTTACTTTTTTTTTACAGCTTTCTCAAACTTAACCAATTTTCACTTAGCAAGATTTTACAAGAGTCAGACAATAATAATTTGTGTAGACAAATCTATGTATCATATGTAATACAAGGTTTGGCAATAGCAAGCTGTGATTTTAGAGAAAAAAAGATACATTGAAGTTGAAAAAAATCTTGACTAAGTTTAATTACAATTATACTTCTATGATATACATACGTGGGTTTTGGGCAATAGATACATCTGTGTTTTTAGTCTTTTTTTTTTTAATAGCAAACTGTTCGTAAGTAAATCAAAGTGTTTTAAGTTCAAAGAAACAGACGAACTTGCCAAGATATTTGTTGATCCCTAAAAAAATACAAATAATGTGTAGGATGCCAAAAGAAATAACTTGTATTTTATTTTTTGTTTCCGCTTTCAGTTAATTTGGCCTGGGCAATTAGACAGTAACTAACTTTTATACTTATTTATATTTTGATTGCTTAGATGAAATACAGCTTTCAATGCTTAACATCGGAAGATACCTGGTAGTTATCCCCTATTTGTTGGGACGTACGTTACACACTTCAAAACACTACCTGAACATATGACAGCAGTTACACAGTCAGTGAGCAGTGATTCAGTAAGCAGCACATTTCTAGGACTCATTTTTTACATTATTATTCAGCTGCAAGCAGCCAACCTTTGAGAGCACCTCAGCTGCACCCACTGCCAACTTACACGGGGGCAGATCCATGAGTGAATAAAAGGGTCCCTCCGGGGCAGCAGCTCCTCAGGGTGACCCCAACCCAGGCCGTGTCGTGGTCTCCAGCCCTGTCTCCATCCAAACATGTGGCCAAGCACAGCAAGAGGCAACAGAAACCCAGCTGGACAATACTGCTGCCTCCTCTCCATATAACAAGCTAAAATTTCAGGATCTCACCTCTGCCTCCTGTAATCACATCACTTTGCTGTCAAAATCTGGAGTAAGTTGATCTGTCCCAAATTACAGCACAACAAATACTCTCATAGACATTTAAGCGTGCATGGATTTTGAAGGACAAAGTGTTGGACTCAGTTTTGTACTTAGTGAGCACCCCGAGCTCTCCAGAAGACATATCTATCATTAACTGCGAGGCACTGCTTCAGTTTAACTGCATTTGGCATTTAACACGACTGTGCTTCTGTGCAAGCAGAAGGAAAAGAAAACTCGGTTTATTTTGTCCAATACTGACAAGATATCAGATGAGCTTTACAGAGAAAGCCAACTGTTACTTTATTTAGTTTCAACAGTCATGACTGCTTCTTGGTTGCCAATTGAGCTAATTCTGCACATGCAGACCAAGTTCTGCGGGAACACAACCAGTTCCTAAAATAACTTTATAGAAGTGTCTTTTTTATATTTCGACTCACGAGCCAAACTCATCTTTAATCTATCATTGAAATCATGTCAAATGTTCATCAACAGCAAGAAAAGTTGGAAAGAAACCCAAGCAGAACAGATGCAAGCCAAGAGCGCTGGGTTACTTAGGTTGACAGTATCTATAAAGTTCTACATGTCTTAAGGGGCTCCCAGAGCAGACGACAGCACATCCCCATTTTCTGCTGATGTGCTAAATCTGCAGCATCACACGTCTTTGCCAGACAGCCTGGCTCCCTGTCATGATACAGTTTCTAATTCTTGGAAATAGAAAGAAGCCAGCAAATGTAAGGTCATTTTCCATGGGATAATAAGCAACAAAAAACCCCTCTCCAAAAGCAGTATGCCACCTTATGCTTAAATAAATAAGCTGTAAAATATATGATGAATATCTACGTGTAAGCATTTATTTTACCACAACAGCACGTTGAAGCCATGTTTGCATTATATAAATCCATTGATCAAGATAGGGAAGAGACATTTTCCTGCTCTCCTGTTGTCAGAAAACAATTTAAAACTCAAGACACGAGTAACATAAAGAAAGAAAAATGAAGGAAACGCCTCCAACTGCAGAAATCACAAATATTTTTAGATTCTTTTCTAAGCACCTCGTTTTGCAGTGCACCTACCTAGTGTGCAATTTACTCACTGTTAAGCACAAAGAATGTGACTGAATAAAATCAAGTAAGGTTCATATTGTACTTCATTTGCCTTCTCCTTCTCTGAGAGGAGTTTGTTGCAGGAATTTGTTAATTTTTACTCCATTTTACATCTCTTAAAGCATGATTGAAGAACATTTGTTTCATGAAGAAGAACAAGGTTTCAAATGTGTGTTATCTAAAGCAGAAACAACTGTGGTACCAAAACGAATCTTCAAGGTCTTCCCCAACATGCCCAAGTCTTTCATTTCAAGGTAAACTGGAAGATATCAACTCAAAAGTTGGTATGACAAAACACCCCAACTAGTCCTCTTTTTTTTTTCCATGGTCAGTATCCCCTTAGCAAAAACAGGCACCTTGCACACTGACACAAATGTCAACTAAAGCCTTCTGAAAATTGAATATTCCAAGAGAGCAGGGCAATCACCCAAGCCCAGTCTAAAAGCAATAAGCTTGAGCATCCTATTCTTACCTGGGCATAACCTTCAGCTTACAGAATAAGGACAGTAACTCTGCAATATTGTCAGCCAAAACAAGGGTGAGCTAATGATACAGGGGGAGCATCCTCAAAACATGTTCCTGACTCTGAAAAAAATCTTACTTTCTCTTTCCAAACAGTGAAACTTTCCAAACTTTAAATCTGATGCATTTTTTGTAGCAATTTATATTCAAATAAAACAAAAGTATAATCAAAAACCCAAAGAGAATGCATTAACATTTGGTCTGGTTTTAAGGATTTGTTTTCATTATTTGTATCAGTAAACCAAACACAGGGCCTACTACCACTAATAGACCAGCAACAACTTAACTTTCTCAAAACAGATGGCCCTCTTTTCAATTAAAGTACCACAACACTGGCCCTGTCATTTCTTGATTTCTTAGAAGCCTGCTTTTCACAAGTTTTGGTTGGTTTGCTTGACAGCAGCCTTTGGGAAGGCCAGAAATAAGCCTTATACAGCCACGCAGGCACACAGAGACATGCACGTGCACCGCGCTCCTTCCCATTGCCCTGCCTGCTCCTTACTCAAGTTCACACAAACTTCTCCCTGCCAACACACTGGTCTTCCCTACTGGATAATGCCTGTAACATACTGGGCCATCCATCTCTAGCTTCCTCTTCTATGCCCAAAACTACAGGCCAGCATTAGCTTATTTCTGGTATGAAACTCCCATGGGCTTGAGTGCTGTGGGAACCAGCATGTGGGCAAGGAGACGTGAGACCAAACTGCTCATGGAAGAACCACCACACGCAGCTCTTATTTTAAAACAGCTAGTGATAATAATAAAAGCACTAAGATCAAATGGATATACAAAGATTTAAGAAGCAGGAATTTCAGAAACTTTTTGTCGCTTCAGAGTTTCTGACTGTTCCTCCACAAATTCTCA